AAACTCGTTGATGGCTGAGGGTTTGCCACAAATCCTATAAGTGTGAAAGTCATTGACGCACCAACTCCATTAGTTGGTCTCGTGACTTAAGAATCCTACAACTTCAGAATGAAATCTATACATGCAGAAGAACCAAGCCCTAATAGTTTGTCCTGCAGCCTCGATATTCACGTCGGGCGATCCGAAACCCAAGGTCAACGCCGGTCAACGCGTAACCTTAGGTCAACGCTAGTCAACGTGTTGTAATAAAAAGTCAACGTCGACGATCCGAAATCCTAGGTTAATACCGGTCAACGCGTAATCCTAGGTCAACGTCAGTCAACACGTTACGATGAAAGTCAGCGCAAGTCAATATATTATGATGGAGATGGTCAGTTCATAGTCAACTCGACGACACGAGCCAAAATCAACTCACCAGTTTTGATTCAAGACTTCGACGACGGCCAGACGATAAATGCAGCGCCGGGAGAACTTTAGTTATTCGTCAAAATATCGAATAGATTAAAAATCGAAGGAGTCAAGAATCAAAGCTAACTATAGGTCTTTTACACCGACTGAAGGTTGGACCGATTATATCCAAAGTATTTCAGGCTCATTTATAAAAGAAACGAGACTGAAACACTTTGGGGGGTATCTATAGGCGTCAAAAATTACCTATAGGTCCCCGCACGCGGCTCAAGACAGAAAGAAGATGATGAACGTTGCTATTTGAGTTACAGAAGCTCATTTGACGATGACAAATGCGTGAAGTGAGTCGACGGACCATGCGAAGCAACGGAATTTTGGAATAACGGAAACACGAATGAACCGGGAGCTGCACGTCGCTTACGAAAGACGAAGCGCCCCTCGTGTCTCATTTAATCCACATATGATTCAATCATGGGAGCTTGTAGATCTCCTCGTCGGTTTTCCGACGCATTCTGGATCGCGCGATTCCGAGTTCGGATGATGAAAATACGATGAAAATGGACGGAACACGCAGACCGAGCCCTAAGCCAAAGTCAAGACACCCCTTTGATGTCTCGGTCAACCCGAGACACCCAAAGGTGTCTCGGCTTGGCCAAGACACTCACAAGTGTCTCGGCCACGCCGAGACACCCACGGGTGTCTGCAGACCCAAAAATCAGATTTGACGGTTTTTCGACCGTTAACCGTCTGGATTTGCTCCAACTGATAAAATATCATCCATGAATGTGATTAAGTGATTACAACTGAGGATAAGAGGGAATCGACAGTTCTTATCCAAAAACAGGGGTCTCGAAGCCTATAAATATAGCCCCAGGGCCTTTATTTTTTCAGATCTGGAATTCACGAGCGTCGGCGAAGCCCTGCTGAATTAAAGACTGAAGGAGCACGAATTTCAGAGAGGAGGATGAGACTTTAGCGAATTCTTCAGCATAAAGAAGAGGAGTTCGTCAGATCTGTAGCCCGGTTCTTTGCCTTGAGATTGCCCCGTTACGGTGATCTCGAGAGGAGTGATTATCTCGCTGTTGTCGAGATAATTGTTTTGGTTTCTTGATTCCTTCGCGAATCAACGAAGCTCCGGATCTGATCTGATCGTTTGGTGATCCACGGATATCAACGTCCCCGTCACAGGCCAAGATCTCACGCAAGCAGCGGATGATAAACACTCGTTGCGCTGTTTGACGAGAGTTATACTTTTTTGTTTTCATTATGTAAAGGTGTTATAAAAAGACTATCCTTTTTTTTGTCATTGTAACAACTGAAGTTGTAATGACTACATCAATGAAGACATCGACTTTCTCCCCAAACAATAGAGGGACAGAATATAGTATTTATCTATGTACTGTCAGCAGAATCGGCATACATAGATAAAGCAAAAAAGAATAAGACGGCTAATCTGTGGCATGCTCGACTTGACCATGTGAGCTATCAAAAGCTCAAGATTATGATGGAAAAGTCGATGTTGAATAGACTCCCACACTTGGAGATTCGAGGAGGGACCATACGCGGAGGTTGTCAGCACGGTAAGACGCATCAATTACCATATTAGGAGTTACAGTTCAGAGCTAAGGAACCTTTTGAGCTTGTACACTCAGATGTATTTGATCGAGTAAAACAAGAATCAATCGGTGGGATGCGGTACATGATCACTTTCATCGATGATTAATCGAGGTATGTATGGGTTGATTTTATAAAGGAAAAGTCTGAAGCACTCTCCAAATTCAAGCAATTTCGAGACGAAGTCGAATGAGAATTCGACAAGAAGATTTGTTGTCTATGCACAGACAACGAAGGAGAATACACATCGAAGGAGTTTTACGACTACATGAAGCAGCACAAGATTCGGCGACAACTAACTTGCCTAAATACTCCGCAGCAGAATAACATAGCCGACAAAAAGAATCGTCATCTTGTTGAAATTTGCAGAAGCATGCTTCACGTTAAAAATGTACCAGGACGTTTTTAGGCCGAGTGTATGAAGACTGTGACACACGTGATCAATCGATTACCATAACCGAAGCTGGAGTTCATGTCACCCTTTCAGAAGTTGTGGAATACCAACCTAATCGTAAGCCATTTCAGAATCTTCGATTGTATATGTTATGTCTTTGTGCCTGATCACCTTCGCAGCAAGTTCGACAAAAAGGCTGTAAGGTGTATTTTTGTAGGGTATGACAGTGAATGAAAAGGATAGAAATGCTGTGATCCCATAACCGGACGATATTATACATCAAGGAATGTTGTATTTGACGAAACCTCATTTTGGTGGGCTTCACAAAAAGTTGCGCTACCAGATTCTAAAGAACTGGAGGATCAGCTACAAGAGAAGTTAGGGGAGGATCAATCAGAGAAGACATAACCAGGCTCTTCAATATCCTCAAAGGAGAATAATCCATGGACAACTGGTGTTTATCAGACAATGCCAGAAGAAGTGCGTCCGAGCCAGATAAAGAACATCAAAGAAGAATCAGTTGAACAACTTCGAACATCAACCAGACCCAGGAAGACGAATCCCAAGTATGCTAATGAGGCCATTACGAAAGATGTGAAGGAGCCATTTACCTTCAAAGAAGCATATAAGAGTGAAGAATGGAGACAAGCAATGAGAGAGGAAATCCAAGCATTGAAAAGGAAGATCGAATTCTTAGACTTGTGAATAAAGAAGTCGCTACTAAGGGAGAGTGCTAGAAATCAGCGGGTATCCCCACCTATCAAGCCATCATCCTAATAGTGTTCACCCACCACCAAATAGTCTCCACCAATCCCTTCAAAAACTAGTGTAAGAACTCTATATAAGAGGTCAAAGATGAGTGTATGAAGCATCCCAAGCCACTGAGAAAGAATAAAAGAAAGAGTGAAGAGCTTGTGGATCCAAATAGGGAAAAATAAAGAGTAGTGTGATGAGATCCCAGTAGCAGAGAGAGAGAGAGAGAGAGAGAGAGAGAGAGAGAGAGAGAGAGTGAGTATTTGTATTTGAGAGTATAATGTGTTTGTACCACTAAAGAAATAGTAACAATATATTTCTTAGTGTCCACCACTCCTCTTACCTCAACAAAATTAGTAATTAGTAGATATTATGCAAACTCTTCCTTTCACAATTTTCCATAACGATTAAATACAGAATTAAGGGCAAATTAGACTAAACCCCCAAGAACATTCAACGTTTGTAGTGAACCCTCAATAACTTCAAAATCGCACTAAACCCCCCAATAACTTTTGCTGAAAAATCCCCCGATATTTTTTGGGTAAATTACACTAAACCCCCAATAACTCTCGAAAACCCTTTTTATATTCTTTTTTGGTTCGAGTTTATGCGGGTTATCTGCAAAAAGGCGGAAACATGTTGGGGTTTTCTGTAAGTTTTTAGGGGTTTATTGCAAAACGCTGAAAGTTCGTAGGTGTTTAGCGTAATTTATCCTCGAATTAAAATGCCAGTTCTAGAGTAACCCAACTGCCCTTCATCGGAAACATACTAGTAGAAATGCTTCAAAGGAGCGTTTGGCTACCGATGTGTTTTTTCTGTTTCCGTTTTTTTTTTCAAAAAAACAATGAAACTTGTTTGGGAACTAGGGTGTTTTTTTAAGTTGCCCCTTTACAAATATGAAAATATCCACGCTTTTCCTAAAACACCTTTTAAGTGTTTTGAGATCCCCGTTTATTTTCCCCAAACCAACGCGATCCCCCTTTTCTCCCCCTCAACCATTCATCGCCATCGTCGCCTTCACCGCCTTATCGTCGCCTTCGCCTCCTCGTCGTCACCTTCGTCGCTGCTGCCTCGTCGTCGCCTTCGCCTCCTCGTCGTCGCCTTCACTGTTGCCACCTTCGCTGTTGTAGGCGTCAAAAAATGCTTACAGACATCCAAATACCCCGTTGCCGCCTCGTCGTCGCCGCTGCCACCTCGTCGGAGCCTTCGCCGCCTCGTCGGAGCACTTTTAACCACACTCTCAGCTCCTTATGGCAGAACCGCAGGAGCCCTAATGTCCGCAGAGGTGAGTTGATTTCTTCTGCTCTCTCTCCCCCCTTCATTTGATGGTTAATTCTTGGGTAGGATTGCATTTTTTTTTTAGAGGGCTTCAGCTTGTTTGTGGGAATTGGGGGAGTTTTTGCAGAAAAGATTGTATTTTGAGGTGAATGTGGTTGTTTTTCACATGGGATTTTTGTTTTTTTTTGCTTCTTTGTTGGGTCAATTGTGCCATTTTTAGGTTGCAGAGTTCCAATTTGGGGTCAGTTTCATGGGGTCAATTGTGCCAATTTTACAATGGTGTTTTCAAACACTTTAGGTGAAAAAACACAACACCAATGTGTTTTTTAGGAAAACACTACAACAAAAAACGTCTTGGAAGCCAAACACACAAAGTTTTTCAAATATTAGTAAATTGATTAATTATGATTAGGACTACGGTGTTTTAATTTACTAGTGAAACAGCGATTGGATCAAAACAATGCAGACGCTTGCGAAAAGAAACCCTGAGAACTGGAACACCAAAGCTTGATCTCAGTTATTAATCAAGATCGAGAAGGAGAGCAGATAGAACCTTCTAGAAGCTGAAGAAGATCCCGATGCGTCTGCGGGCTTCGATTTCACGCTAGATCGCAGCGGATGATACCTCGGCTTTTTGATCCCGACGGAGCCACTGGATAGTCATCACGAATCAGTGAAAAAGTCAAACAAAATTTGAAATTGGCCGGGATGTAAAAAAATTAAAGAGAAGAGGATACCGGGGAGAGGGGACCGCTCTTTTTTGACGTTTTCCATAATAATAAAAAAGGAATTCCTAATTTGAATTAAGAAATAGAACGATTGTTTCGGGACCGTGAATTTTGCTGGACCAAAAATTGGAGTTTTTAAGATTTACTCCTCAAATCATTATAGTTTTAAATTTATCCCTCGTATTGTAATTATCATCAATGTTCAGAAATTACTATTTCATTCTTGTGAAATCAATTAAATCTCATGCACGTATTTATTTTAACTGATCACTTTAGAAGAGCCACTATATTCACTTTGGGAGTTCATTTTCAGCTTGTTTTGTTTTGATCAAGAGTCCTACTTACATTAGATTTTGTACAACCAATCATATTGGAGGTCTATTTCTACTTGGACTCTTGTTGGATTTCAAAACATGTGGACTTATATTCATATTAGAACTCTCATTCCCTAGACAGCAAGGAGCTGGAATCTTTAAGGCTACATAAGAACAGTCTTTCAAGCCAATTAGAATCATCAATCTTCAGAGCACCAATCAAGAAGAGAAAGTTTTTTTGTGAAGCCTATTTGATGTTCTTCTCTTTTATTCCTTTAGTTGAGAGTTGTATTAGGCTCTTGGGGTGTTATTTAGGATTGAGAAGTTGAGAGATCCACTTTATATTCCTTACAATTTAGTAAAGCTTTTCTCCTCCTTTGCCCATGGACGTAGGCTACAAGCCGAACCACGTATATCTTGGTGTTCTTGATATTTTTCGTGCTCTCGTGTGATTGATATTAGCTTATCCTAGGGAATTTGTCATAACAAATTGGTATCAGAGCCCTCAGCTATCGATCGGACGAGCAGATGACGACAACTACTACGAAGTGGGATATCGAGAAGTTTGACAACAATATCAGTTTTAGCCTTTGGGAAGTTAGGATGATCGATGTGTTGTAAGAAGGCTTTGTTCAAGAAGTCGAAGAAACCGGCTATCATGACGGAGGAAAACTGGAACGAGTTGGATGATAGAGGTCTCACAACGATCCAATTATGTTTGACAAACGAAGTTTTGCAATAAGTTATCACGAAGATGGCAGCCGATGATTTGTGGTCTAAATTAGAGGATTTGTATTTGACGAAGTCGCTCACTAATCGCCTCCTTTTAAAACAGCGTTTGTACACACTTCGGTTGTTGGAAGGAACACCCATCAAATCTCATATTAGTGAATTTAATTCTGTGAAGAAAGATTTGAGTAAGATTGATGTTAAGATCGATGATGAAGATCAAGCCCTATTGTTATTGTGTTCTTTGACGCCTTCCTACAAGCACTTCAGGGATACTATGATTTATGATCGAAATTCTATTGGTATCATTGTAGGCTGTCTAAAAATCACAATAGATAGCTGATCCAAATAAGCTCCGACAATGGAGGTCACACGACTTCTCAATCACTGCATCCGCAACTCCACAATCGCCACAAACATGACCTCACTTCTGAGATGATTGATCTTGATGGCTGCAACAACAGCATGAATAGTATTATTAGCAACTATTGGAGATGCTGATGAGCAGTGTAATGATTTTAGAAAGAAAAGGTTGGACTTAGGTGGTGAGTTGCCTGGTAGAGAGCTGTGGGCAAATATTCGTCTTCAAGACACTATGGATGTTGATTCCCGTCAAGCTCTCACAACGAAAGCTACAATCAAATAGCTTTCGCGCCGACAATCGAAACATACAATCAAATAGTTGCTTGGTAGAGAGTTGTGGGAAAATATTCGTCTTCAAGACACTATGGATGTTGATTCCCATCAAGCTCTCACAACGAAAGCTACAATCAAATAGCTTTCGGATCGACAATCGAAAGCGGCAAATAGAGGACTTTTCACATAGATCGAGAAGAGTTACAATTCAACGATACTTCCGACAACTGATGAAAACTCTATCCAGCAGTCTTCACATTCTACAGTGAAAGTTACAATCTGACAACTTTCATACCCTACAACAGCTAAAATCAGGATTACTGAACAACGGTCCTCGCAACGCTTCACAGAAGAGGCTACAAGTCAAAAAGCTCCTTCTGAAACGTGGATGTCATCCCCGCGTTACGAATATGGAAAGGCAGGTGACCCCCGCGTCTCCAAGGCACAAGCCAAACGTGAGCGACCCTCGCGTTCATAGGGGTTCAACCAACACTGACCCCCGCGTTTCCAAGCAGGCAACAAGCTAAACACGAGTGACCCTCGCGTTCAATGGTGTTCAGCTAACACCCAACCTCGCGTCTCAATCCTAAGACACGAAGTTGGGTTCTGAACGCCAGAATGGGCGTTTGACTCGTTCAAACATGAGTCGAACGGTTCCAAAACCGTTTATCCCACGTTCTGAGGGATGTTCGCCCACGTAGGAGCGGATATAGGGGTCAGTTATAACCTCCTACCCCCCTATAAAAGCTCAACAAACCCAACAGAGCAAGGGTTGGATTTTTGGCATCTAAACCACATAGGTTGGAGGTACAAGATCTAAACCGTACAGGTTGGGGATTCAGCAGCAGCGTAATCCTTGGAGATAGGATTTTCGAATCATACTCAGAAGATCAAATCTGAGAGGATTCTTCTACAACAGAATAACAGCTTGATCATTAACCGAATTTTCGGTTCTAACAACTCTATTCACAGAGTTCAAACTCGTTCAGAGTTCTTAAACTCATTCAGAGGTATTTATCAAACTTTCCACAGAAGTTCATCGTTCCCACGAGATAGAGACGGTCGGATCGTCAACGGAGAGCAAATTCGACGCGAGCAATCGAAGGAGGCATTCCATCGCTACCGAGAAGAACCCAGTTTTAAACAAAGGAGAGAACTAAATTTGTTTCTCTTTGTCACGCCCCGCTTCCCAAAATACTGGGAAATCAGAACGTGAACAAGTCCGCGACGTATTCGATTGAGGAGAAATATTATCATCATTTTTTTTTCTTTTCTTCTCAATCCAATACGCTAAGCGTCAAATACATAAATCTCAATCACAGGTCCCCGATCACAATAGCAAGAATAGAAAGACAATCCAGAATAAGAAATAAACATATCATCCATAGTGAATCATCCCAGACATAAATATGGGTTCATCATACCCTTACTACAACAACAGTTCAACTAGGAAATAAGAAATACATAGTCCATAAAAGGAAATACTAACAAAATAACCAAATCTGTCACCAAACTAAAGAAAATACTGCAAGAGTGCTCTATTAGCTACTACAGAAAAGAAAATGCGTCTAGGCTTCAGTTTGTTCTTCCACTCCATCAGAAGGACATTCCGGCTGAGCATACACTGGTTCGGCGGCATCATCGAACTGAACCTGTTCGTCTCCTAAGTCTGACGCACACCAGAGAAAACAGGTGTACGTCAGGTGCATGGCGCACGGCAATATCTCACATGAACAAATAAAACGGTCTAATGATCCATGCTACGATAGTAATAATAATAACAAAAAGATAATGATACATGCAACTGAAATCTAATGGTAACATACGACTATGTGAATACAGTGACTGGGTCGAATACTAACCAACCTAAAACTCAGTGGTCCACATCTCACACAGAGTCAACGCCCCTATCATCGGATAACTGGCTGTTCACAAATCCCCTACGTGCATCCAATACCGCTACACGAATCGGTCAGAGGACTACACGCAATCCGATTTCGGCCTGGTCCGAACTCAAGCAGAACTCGGGTGACTACACAAATTCACTGACTAAAGTGACTACACGAATTCACTTTAGCCCATCAAACCAACCCCAGTGACTACACGAATTCACTGGCGCGAGCCTGGAAGATACATCAACAGCTATATCCGATCACATGAACATTAACTTCCCCATCCCAACTCTTCTCGTTTTTCTAAGTCAACACAACACATGTCTTTAGGTCTTATTCATGTCACACAGGTCACTATAGTCATAAACTCCTAACGGTTCTCAATCACAACAAGGAACAATCAATGCAACTAATCATGTACAATAGTATCATAGCATATCAGATAATCAAGACTAAGAATTTGAATCATAAAATTGTTCTAAAATAATCTTTTGAAATAATAAAGTTATTTACTTAAAAATAATCCCTTTTTCAAAATAAGTTATTTTCTCACTATATTAATTCTAAAAATAATCTTTTAAAAATAATAAATTCATAAATTCAAAAATAATCTTTTTATAAGATAAATTCTTATTAATTCAAAATAGTCTATTTTCCCAAACATAATTTCTTTTTAAAAATATGTCATTCTAAAATGATTTCTTCCACAAAATAATTTCTAAAAATTATTATAATTATTCTAAAATGATTCTTTTTCCAAGATAATTCCTTTTAAATTATTATAATTTTCCTAAAAAATGATTTTGTTCTCACATAAATTCTTTTTAATTACTATAATTGTCCAAAAATAATTCCGCTGCCAAAATAAATTCTTTTAATTTGTCATAATTATTCTAAAAATACTAATTATCATATTATTATGATTTATCTAAAATCATTCATCAAACAATCCCACGCAGATAATTATTGACAAATCTAAAATTACAGATAATTCATAATAAATACAAAAATTCAGTTTTGAACAAGTGGGATCTTGCCTTGGGTATATCGTGGACTGTAGTAGGGACCGTCGGGGTGGTTGCACAGCGTTACGACGGGTTTCGTGGAAACGACGGCTAAAATTACAATTTGAGTGTTAATGCGACGTGTGATATTCGAACGAGTATAACGAGGTGTACATAAGGAGCCCAAGTGAAAGAAATATACCGTGTGATAGATAACACGAAGGGCTACGCACCGGCGAAGGAATCGACGGAAACGGAGGTCGGAGTTGGCCGGAAAACGCGCGCGAAGTTGGCTCCGAACTGCAGTTTTCTGCAGTGAAGCTCACTGATCCGAGCTCGCTGTTCGGAGCTTCTTCCCGCTGTGCGGGCTCGCCGGAGGTGGGAGGGGTGACGACGAGCGGAGACGGGGCTTGGGCTCGGCGAGGGTGGCTGTCGGAGGTGGAGGCTTGGTCGGAGTTCGTGGAGGAGGGGGTTCGAAGTTGGGGGAGGTGGAGAACGGAGGGTAGGACGCGGGTGGTCGTGGAGCTCGTCGGAGCAGCGGCGAGGCTGAGACGACGGGGTTGGGCTGGAGTCAACGACGGTGAACTGGAGGCGGTGGTCGTGTGCGGTGGTCGGAGGGGCGACGTGGGGTTGAAGGGGGTGGCGGAGCTAGAGGGGAGGAGGGGACATGAAGCTGAGAAGGAAGCCCTACACAAAGAAGAGGAATTCGTCAAAAGCTTCAACGAGGAAAGGAATGGCATTGCTCAGTTAATTAAATTATACCTCCTTCCCCTCGAGTCACTGGGGGTGATGGAGATGTAACGACTGTAGCAGCATCGACTGGTGGAGTTGGTCGCACAGCCGGCTCAACAGGGTCAGCCTCAGCGAAAGCTCCTGTTAGACACAAAACAGAAACATCATTTTATAGTTGCATTAGTCAAGGAATTGGCTAGTCCTATAGTTAGCTTGAGAAGAGGCACGCACCTTCAAAATAACCGTTCCCGGGAGTCTGAGGGAGTACAGACTCAGGAAACATATCCTGAGGCGGCTGGCCATCGATCTGAGGAGAGTCATACATGAAGCTGAACATAGAAGTGTCCATAGGCAGGCCCTCCCCATCGAAGTCATCAATCGAAAAATCTGACATAAAAAGATATAAGGGAAGAGGAAGGAAATTATAGCCAATAGAGACAAGTTACCTCTTGAAGATGTACCTGGAATCACCGAACTGGGTCCTTCATTGACAGACTCCCCAACATGGGCGGTCTCTGCAGGCTTTTCTACCTGGGGCGGTGAGTCAGGCTCACCAGGAGATGCACAATCATCAGGACTCATCTCGCCTTCCTCACGATATCCTGCATAGGATGGGAAAGCATGAGCCAGAAGTTCTAAACGATCAAGAAAATGATCTATAGAATAGACGTTACCTCCGTCACTAACAGGATCCTCACCAGCCAAGTCCATCTCTGATGCTCGTGAAATTGCAGGCGGCTTGTGGGCTAATCTTTTCCGCCTATCAGCACGGACAGCAATCGAAGGTCTGGCCCGGGTAAAAGGACGGAATTCGTCGTCACTGTTGATCGCTGTCCCTGAAACAACGAATAGTGGTCAGAAATAGTAATTTGAAAATGCAAGAAAAAAGAAAGATAGGTGACTAACCTTGCTCCAAATCTGCCTCGTAGTCTTCAGGGTCTCCGCCTGAGGCCTCTCCAGCAGAACTAAAGGCCCTGTGACCTTCTGCATCAAGTCGGCGGGTCTTGCCCTGAGCCCTCTGTGATCGAGCACCGTCCTGGATAACACGAGAATCAAGTTGAGAGGCTTCTTCGGTCACCAACTCTTCGATAGGCTTCACACGGACAGTCTTATTAGCTGCTAGCAACCACTTGCAGCTCAGGAAAGTGAGGTTCAACTGTCGCTCAGTACCTGGGAGACTGAACCTAGCTCCAGTGCAACCAGTCACGGTCCACAACCATGCACGAAGACCGTCCACCAGACCTCCATGAGCCCGAAGCTGCTGGCGCGGGTTCCCTACATAAAGCTGGTCATAACCGAACTGGCGGGCGAATCGGCAAGGTAGATACGGCTCTATAAAACACTGATTCCCCACCCGGAAAGTCAGGTAACCCGGCCTAATGTTCACTAGCCAATTAAAGCAGCCCATATCCAAATAAGTCCTATACTCCCTGACTGGTGGAGTTGGTCGCACAGCCGGCTCAACAGGGTCAGCCTCAGCGAAAGCTCCTGTTAGACACAAAACAGAAACATCATTTTATAGTTGCATTAGTCAAGGAATTGGCTAGTCCTATAGTTAGCTTGAGAAGAGGCACGCACCTTCAAAATAACCGTTCCCGGGAGTCTGAGGGAGTACAGACTCAGGAAACATATCCTGAGGCGGCTGGCCATCGATCTGAGGAGAGTCATACATGAAGCTGAACATAGAAGTGTCCATAGGCAGGCCCTCCCCATCGAAGTCATCAATCGAAAAATCTGACATAAAAAGATATAAGGGAAGAGGAAGGAAATTATAGCCAATAGAGACAAGTTACCTCTTGAAGATGTACCTGGAATCACCGAACTGGGTCCTTCATTGACAGACTCCCCAACATGGGCGGTCTCTGCAGGCTTTTCTACCTGGGGCGGTGAGTCAGGCTCACCAGGAGATGCACAATCATCAGGACTCATCTCGCCTTCCTCACGATATCCTGCATAGGATGGGAAAGCATGAGCCAGAAGTTCTAAACGATCAAGAAAATGATCTATAGAATAGACGTTACCTCCGTCACTAACAGGATCCTCACCAGCCAAGTCCATCTCTGATGCTCGTGAAATTGCAGGCGGCTTGTGGGCTAATCTTTTCCGCCTATCAGCACGGACAGCAATCGAAGGTCTGGCCCGGGTAAAAGGACGGAATTCGTCGTCACTGTTGATCGCTGTCCCTGAAACAACGAATAGTGGTCAGAAATAGTAATTTGAAAATGCAAGAAAAAAGAAAGATAGGTGACTAACCTTGCTCCAAATCTGCCTCGTAGTCTTCAGGGTCTCCGCCTGAGGCCTCTCCAGCAGAACTAAAGGCCCTGTGACCTTCTGCATCAAGTCGGCGGGTCTTGCCCTGAGCCCTCTGTGATCGAGCACCGTCCTGGATAACACGAGAATCAAGTTGAGAGGCTTCTTCGGTCACCAACTCTTCGATAGGCTTCACACGGACAGTCTTATTAGCTGCTAGCAACCACTTGCAGCTCAGGAAAGTGAGGTTCAACTGTCGCTCAGTACCTGGGAGACTGAACCTAGCTCCAGTGCAACCAGTCACGGTCCACAACCATGCACGAAGACCGTCCACCAGACCTCCATGAGCCCGAAGCTGCTGGCGCGGGTTCCCAACATAAAGTTGGTCATAACCGAATTTGCGGGCGAATCGGCAAGGTAGATACGGCTCTATGAAGCACTGGTTCCCCACCCGGAAAGTCAGGTAACCCGGCCTAATGTTCACTAGCCAATTAAAGCAGCCCATATCCAGATAAGTCCTATACTCCCTCGGCTTCTCCTCATCAATCAAACACTCGCCGTACCGGCTGGAGAACTGGGGAAAGCAAGTGGAGAATGCCCAGCACTTGTGGACTTGTAGCTGACGCCTGATATCGGGGAATCCTCGGCCCTCCCATTCACCATTCTCAAGCAACTGTAGAAAGGGGACAGACTGATCTATGGCATTCGGTATTGACATCACGTCGGAACGATGAAGAACGAACCAAGCCATCAAATAAATA